CCTGGTTTACAGTGTAAGTATGCACTTACAGTGATGTGCTCAACTTATTTCACATGCCCCATAATTATGGGGTTTTTTTTGTTTTTTTTTTTTTTTGGAGACAGGGTCTCACTCTGTTGCCAGCTGGGAGTGCCATGGTGTCATCATAGCTCACAGCAATCTCAAAGTCCTGGGCTCAATCTATCCTCCTGCCTTAGCCCCCTGCCATTACACATGGATAATTTTTATTACTATGTTTTGTAGAGATAGTATCTTGCTCTTGCTCAGGCTGGTCTTGACCTCCTGGCCTCACGCAATCCTCTTGCCCTCAAACAATCCTCCTGCCTTGGCCTCCTAAGTAGCTGGTATTACAGGTGTGAGGCACCACACCCAGCATATATATATAATCATATATATATATATATATGATTTTATTTTATTTATTTATTTTTTTTAGACAGAGTTTCAGTTTGTCCCCCTCGGTAGAGTGCCATGGCCTCAGAGCTCATGGCAATCTCAAACTCTTAGGCTTAAGCAATTCTCTTGTCTCCACCTCCCAAATAGATGGGACAACAGGCACTTGCCACAACGCTGGGCTATTTTTTGGTTGCAACCTTCATTGTCGTTTGGCAGGCCAGGACTGGATTCAAACCCACCAGTTCAGATGTATGTGGCTGGCACCTTAGCCACTTGAGCCACAGGCGCCAAGCCAAGGCTGCTTTTTCAAATGGGCTGGTGTGTCCAGATGATGCAGGCTGGCCAAAGCTGACCTCTCACCTAGTATAGCACTCACCAAGACTGAAAAACCCTGACACAGTCCATTGTCCTGCCTGAACGAAGCTCCACTTGGAAACCATCACTTTTCCATGTATGTACTTCTCTGTTCCAAGATACCAAGTTTCATTCAGATTAAAGCCAATTTTTTAAAAGCAAATAATATTTTTAAACTTTAAATGAAACTATGTAAAGGTAAGGTGGGAGGATCACTTTAGGTCAGGAGACCAGCTTAAGCAAGGCGAGACCCTGTATCTCCACCTGCCTCCTGCTAGGACTTTGCTCTGGAAG